TTTAATAATTTAAATAAAAAAATATTTATATATAAATATATATATATATATATATATATATATATATATATATATATATATATATATATATATTTAAATTAATTTAATTTTATAATTTTAAAATATTTTTATAAATTTATATATATATATATATTTATATATATATTAATATATATATATTTAAATTTATTTAATATATATATATATATATATATATATATATATATATATATATATATATATATATATATATATATATATATATATATATATATATATATATATATATATATATATATATATATATATATATATATATATATATATATATATATATAAAACTGTACAGTAACATTTGCGACGAATATAATCATTTTCGTCGCAAATAAAATACGTCGATGTACTATATTTCATCGTAAATCTAGTTTTGGTAGAATTAAATATTGCGACGTAAAGTTCAAATTCGTCGCAAACATTGGCGACCAACAGAGAAATATAGTCGCAAAACTTTGCGACGATATCTGGGTTTCGTCGCAACAATAATATTATTTTATTTTGTTGAAAATTTTACTTTGCGACGAAAAAATAAAACGTCGCACAAACGGCGACGATAGTGTAGACATAAACGTCGCAAACACAAAAATCTAATTTATTATATAAAATCGACTTTGGGCGACGAAAACGTAATTCATCGCCCCACTAGCGACGAAACTGCGCGTTCGTCGTAGCCTTTGCGACGGGATCATTGGCGTCGAATTTGGACCCCCAGTGCGACGAAACTGGAATCGTCGCAATCGTCCTAATTTCGTCGCAAGAGTTCTATTTTCGTCGCAATTTTTCGTCGTCTGTGGCCGGTTTTCTTCTAGTGTAATATGTTAACGTTTTCTCATTATTTTGGTGAATTTGACATTGAGAATCCAATTTCTATCCAAAACCATCAAATTCATTAGGCAAATCACTTAATTTATTTTTAATCTATTTATTTTTATGTTTTAAATGCCAACTCATTCAATCAATCATCAAATTACCTGTTATAGCAGGTCATAAGACTAAAATCCCCAACTTTTGTAACTTACAAGATTAAAATTCAAATTTTGAAACATAGTGGACTTTAACCCTCAACTAGTAAACATACAGGACCAAAAAACTCATTTTGCCTTAATAAAAACCCACGAACGTTTTCCTTTTGTTTTTTTATAAGAACGTATACTGTATACGGTATACTAACACACGGACACGGTACACTAGTTTATACCTTTAGATTGCAATGCATTAATGAAATACAAATTGAAACACAAATTCAAAATATACCTCCATTCAGTTTATAGGTTAATATATATATATATATATATATATATATATATATATATATATATATATATATATATATATATATATATATATATATATATATATATATATATATATATATATATATATATATATATATATAGTCCAGTCACTTTCATTGCGCTGTTGACATGAAATAAGAACAACAAAATTTCTGTCCGTTGGTACTTTTCCTTTATTCTCAAAACGGTTTCCAGAAAATTCTAAAATTTAAAGTGTTTGTATAAGGAGAGAATATTTCTTTGAAGCATTGTATACCGTTGCATGCATCCTAACAAATTAATGCGAATTAAATGATTTATTGTTATTATTTCACCATTAATGCCAATTCTTGAAAATATTTCTGTTACAGAAATTACAGAATGGTTAATTATTTATTTAATTTTTGCTACCAATAATATAAGTATCGTTTATCGATGTCAAGAAATTCAAATCTGAAAATATTGAGAAGAGTTTCTACTTTCTAAGATAAAAATGTATCGCATC